TGGAGGAGCTTTTGGTTTTCCTCTATATCTTGACTCTTGAAGTATAATTAAATTTATTAATTATAAATACAGTCTRCTTATCCCTATCAGAAATTGCAATTCCCATCATGGTTTTCAAAATCGGACTGGACTGAACAGTCAGACCAGAAAAACCGGGAACCGGTCAGGTCCARAAAACCAGATTTTTCCCAAAAACCGTTGCTTTTGATCAGCAAACCGCTGACTCGGGCAATTAACTATTTGAACCATTTGAACGGTTTTGACTGTTTTTTAATTTTTTAAAATTTTTAAAATTCTTTTATTTTTTTGTTATAACGGGCGGACCGTTCAACCTGAGAACTGRACCTCTGACCGGTTCGTTCTTTTGATTCCCATTGTGTGTTTCTCCCATAATTTTGCATTCATGTAGGCACACAGGGATGAGAGATGAAAAAAGAAAATTCAATAAACTAAAGTAAAGATGAAAGAAAGACAATGGGAGAGCAGATGTTAGGTACTAAAAGATTGTTAGATTAAAATATTAGGGGCAAAGTTGGATTTTTCTAAAAATTCTACCAGCACATTTATCATGGTCAAACGGATCTTGAAAAATTGATAACCGAGGGGAAGTGTTTGTACCCATGAAGGAAGATCTTAGACCTTTTTTAAAATGGAGGGGAGGTTTCAGTATTTACTAAGTCTTTTTCCCTAATAAATAAACATTGCACTTAGTCAATTGACATGGACCACTGTGTCCCTTTTTGAACTTTCATGTTGGAGGGAACTCTTCTTCCGATTGAATGAGGGTGCGTACAGGCTTTTTCTAGAAAAAGATGACCAACATAATTAATTCTACTATTCCACAAAACTACTTAAACGGCCAGCCTTGATTGAACGTACTGTCATAGAGATGTGCGACTTACACAAATCCAACTCACTAGCATTATCAAGTTATTGCCATATTATCTAGTAGATGGAATGAGATCTGCATTAAAGTAAGGCCAAAGGTCACCGTTTTAGCTGCAACTAATGCATCAGAATGGCGATGAGAGAAAAGAAGGGCGTTTTACAATATAAATGTTTTTGTTTTCATTTATTTTTGAAATTTCTACGTCAACAAAAAAATATGTTCTTGAATTCTATTTTATTAAAAAACAGTACATGTTTTGGTTTTTAAAACCAAACAAATTTTTTAATATAAAAATTATATGATTTATGAAAATCAAATGAAAACAGGTTTCTGAAACTAGATTCGGTAACATGTTTTTGGTTTTGGTTTTGAAAACAGAAAATATACACACAACCGAGAATATATTTTTTGTGTTTTTATTTTAAAATAATTTAATAATCTATTTTCAAACAAGATGGTTTTGATTTATTTCTGGAAACACTTAATCAATTTCGTGCAATTATGGTGGCATGTGACCCCAATGAAATGTAAGATGTCTTTGCTTTAAATAATTTTTAGTTGATATGATGTTTTATTTTTTATTTTTTAAATACTGGTGTACATGTTACCTTTTTATTAGAATTTGGATTTAATTCTTATAAAACTATTTTTAATTTTTCACACCATCCTCACAGCCTTTTGCAGTCATGCATCCGAAATATCTTCGTATTTATATGGTTTTATCCACAGGGAGATATTCGCATTTCACAGCTGGGCTGTGAATACGGTTTTATAGAATTGTTTTGTTAAGGGGTCTTTGAATTGTCTTATTAACACAAATGGGCCAAAATGACAACCTGTATGATGCATTCTTTGAACATTAATAATGGCACAAAGAACTGAAGACGACCCGGGGTCTGATCTAGTGCAATCAGGTAACCCAAAACCATGAATGTTAATTTCATCAGAGATTTGAAAATTTTGATTTAATAGTTTCTCACCGATCAGGGGGGTGCCGCCTGGCCAGTTTGGTCCAATAGAGTATATTAATGGGTCGAGTTGGATCTGAACTGATTGGGTCAGTTTTAGTTTTATGAATCAGAATTTTCGATTCCTAATATATTGTCTCGATTTTTATCGGTTTGGATTCGGTTATACCCAGCCCTGAACTGATTCAAACCCAACTCAATTTCTCTCTCTATATATATGTGTGTATAATTATATATATTATATTAAATGTATAATATTAAATAAATTAATATTATTATATAATATTTTTAATAGATTTATTATAATCAAATCCATTGGGTCAGACCCAATTGTCGTAAGAACTGATTAATTCGATTTTAGGTCTAAACTTAGAGACCCTATAGTGTCCAATTCGGTTTCGGGTCCTTATTAACAGTCCTAAGTACACCAGATATAATTTATACTATTAATAGGTCCAATTGCAATCAATTTCTAAAAATAGACAATAGCTACTCTTGGAGATGATCATAAGTGTGATGTAGAGACATGGGGATTTCATGGAGATGATAAGTCTTATGGTTGGCCAGCAAGACCAGTTCACACTGGATAATAATAAGTAAATACAGCTATATGTACAATCTTTTTTTTTTCTTTTGAGGCAAAAGCTACTTGTACAATCGAATCATAGTATTCTTGCATTAATACATACAACAGCGCAACCCTTCATGTATATGTGATCCTACTGTTCGGAATTTAGATGTTAAAATTGCGTCAGTTTGGAAGGGATGTAAATATAAATATGTAGAGTGCAAAACCTTGTGTTTTGTATTATTTTGAATGTATTTATACTTTATATATTTATATTTGTAGGCTCGGTTTAGAAGAATACAAATATAAATACATAGAGTGGAAAACTTGTTTTGAGTTTTGTATTATTTTATATATATTTACATTTGTATTCCTTGCAAACTGAGCTTATGTGCAAATCTGTAACCCCATCCAATTCAATTAAAAATTATATAGTATAATTACGTGTAAATATTATATACAATATAAAATTTATAATTAATAAATTTAATATTATATATATTTAAAAAAGTAATTGATTTTTTATTTTATTTTATTTTTCATTTTAGGCACGTAGATGAGGGTTAAATTTGAATCCAATATATTGGATTGGGTCCAAAATTTTGATAATAGGATCGGATGTGGATGTAGCCGGATTCTATCTGAATCCCATCTGATTTTAGCCTTAATCTTAACCAACCACTTTTAATTAATAATAATGTTTTCCTAGATGGTAGGAATATATGATTTCATTATTCTTCACAACAATAAGTGATAACTTTTTTGTTTATCTTTAATTAATTTTGTTGGGCCTTTGGGGTAGAAAATAGGGAAGATGGTACCAAAGAATTGTAATCAAGCAATTGATATCCACTGGTATTCATCCGGTGGTATTGATTGATCGAAGCTCTTCTTGTCATACCTTGATGAGGGGTCATTTGGTCCTCCGATTGCAATGTTTCATGTAGCTGACCTGAACCGTTTTGTAACATCTTGGTGCCACATGTGGTCTGCCCTCACCCAATCAGGCCAGCCTAAGCCGCCCTTTATGACTTGGGTTCCGACCAATGGGAGACTGATAAGTGCACAATGACAAATTGGAGGATGTCGCCTTGAAGGATGAGATGATAGCTCTGCCAACCGACCTCCCTTTTTCGACCTGGGCGCTTGATGATCTAAGTAGTTAACTATATTCCGAGGTACTGACCTACGTGGCATGCCATCCTTATCTAGTCAACTATGCTCATTGGTTTTGAAGCACATGGCAATACGTCGCCCACCCGGTAATGACAACCTCAGTTCCATTCACTTTGCAAGGAACCGGATAAGGATCATTACGATGCCGTGACATGGCTTGAAGATAACGGGCCAAAAAGTCTCATCGTTCCCGGATGTTTTGGACACGCTACACGGACCCCAAGGCCAATATAAAGGCGTTTCCACACCTTTACAAGGTACGTGCGATCTCGTGCAAAATTTATTCACTCTTTTCTTTGCCCTCTATTCTTTTAACAACCTTACTCAGCTTAACTAACTTAAGCATTGAAGTACCCAACTCTGATTGTTTATTGTTTCACAGATGCTGTCTGCTGACTTCAGCACTCTTATCTTTCTAATTACTTTCCAATAGGGAATCAGAGCGGGATCGTGCTACAACAACACATTTGTGGCTTTCTGCCATCATAGATTTGTCCTTTAACTTCATGTACAAACATGAAAATCATCAAATGCATCGTGTATTAAAGTTCCCCCAGATTTTGTCAATAACGGAGTTTCCCTATGCGACTTGCCTAATTTAGCCATGTTAAAGAGTGCTTTGGAGTTAAGCCAAGATTGTTTTTGATAGGAAACCCTTTGGATTAATCATGTATTAAATCCTAAATTTCCCATTAGTCCTATCTGTTCTTTTTTTTTTTGGGCAAAAGATCAGTAATTGGAGTTTTGCCTACTGATCATTAATAACAACCCTCTAAATTTTCAATTAAAAGTTTAAAACTTACCCATAAAAATGATTATTTAATAAGGTCTTTTGAGTAGTCATTTTATTTCTTCATGGAGATCTATACAGAAATGAGAGAAATTTGAATCTATGCTCTTTAGGCTCAGTTAGGAAGAAGTATAAATATAGATATATACAGTACAAATACATATAAAATAATATAAAATCCAAGATTTTGCATTTATACTCCTTCCAAACTGAGCCTTAGTGTATTTTTTACATTCCAAAACTGAATAGAATTGCATTTTCAATTTTTTTTTTTGGATTCAAAAGCATGTTTTCTTATATTGGTTCGATATTATGTTCCATCGATCATATATAGAAACTCTGATTGAGTGGATATCACCTCAAATTTCTTGTTTTTATTTTTATTTATTTTTTTCGCTTTCTTAAAAGCAATAAAGACAGCACATTCATGTTAATTGGAGAATACCCGGCCCCAATGGTGCTAATGATGTGGCCATGCATGCATGCATGTATTGAACTTTTGTTTTTGTACTCTCACCTACCCTATCTAACAAATGGTGCTAATGAATGAGATACATGTTCTTGTCTTTGCTTCCTTTTAAATCTCTCCACTGGAACACTTCTAAATAATGCAGCAAGTGTTTCATTTCTCTGGCTAGCAGAACTGAGAACTGAGTTGGCCTGCAGGCAGCATATATAGTGGTATTCTCTCTCTCTCTCTCTCCATTCTATTTTCTATCCGTCAAGTTTAAGAGAGTTTTGGGCTGCTCCTTTATGCTCATTGGATGAACCCATAAGGCTGTACTGAGTTTAGGGTTTTCAATTGCTCGATCATTGCGGTCTTTTTCTTTTCCTAGAACATTGAAACCAAGACATATGAACATTTGTGCACAGACCATCATCTTCTTTACCAAGAATTTGGACATAAACTGATTGTGATATGTATCTGCACTCTGGGCCCATTGTGTTACTGTTTATTTTTCCTTATTTTTTTTTTAATTTTCAAGCAAAGGAAAAAATGTTTCAGGTAAAAAATTGTGTGATAATCACATATATGCTGCAGTGTGATACAATTAATTATTTTTCTTTACTATGATAGTGATATGTTGTACGGGGAAAATAATTTTTTTTTTTTAATTTGGGTATGACGCTTAAATTCCACTTAAATTTACTGATGTTGTGTTCAAGTAGTCAACTGTTAAATCCATTAATTGGGCAAGTCTTTTTGGATACATCAACATCCCAGTGGAAGAGAGACGATGCATTAAGCTTTTGGGTTCTTGTTTTTAAAGAGCAAGACTGCTGTCTGGTAAGTGTCTTGGCCCTGGGCTATTAAAAACAGTTGAGAAGTATTCTACTTTTAATGCGAAAATGACTAAAAGCTTTTTAATTTTTGACTCTTTGGTCTTTCTATGTGGTTGTCTTTTTTTTTTATGGATTTTAAGCTTCCCGCGGACCAAAAAATTCCAAACAGTGCCTTAATTTGGAAGATTTGATGTCTGATCTGAATCATATAAGTTTTTTTTCTTTTTTTTTTTTGGCATTTACGGCATTTGAGAGAGAGACAGAGATTTTCATGAAGAAAAAATCAATCCTCATACTATATATAAGAACCTATGACCAAGACTACATCATTGTTAATAGATGCTATATATATACCAATCAAGTGGCCTTTTTAATCAAATTCGTCGGGGTTTTATCAAAGTTCTTTTGATGAGAGAATCAGGATCTGTTTCTTATAGAGTGTTCCTTACATCAATCTCACAACTAAGGATTAAAATATCTGTACCAGGTATTGTATTGGATAATTTGAATATAGAGACTCTCTGGGAAACATATGGATATGGGAAGTGCTTGAATATGATAGGAAAATGCATACAAATTCCATAAATATATTAGTAACATTCAGTTTAATGTCAAAATAACTATTCATAATGTATAAATACATAGGAATTTTATATTTTAATGGTATGTATGATGAAATATATTACAATTAATATAGTAGTATGCATAGATATTATACAATTTTATTGATAATGCATCAACCAAGAGTCCAAAACACATATTATATAGATTTTTACAAATTAATACATGTAGAAATCCATTATTATTTTATTTTCTACTAAAGTCCAAGGCACAAAGCATATACAACTATTATATTTGAATTATTATATCAATTTTTTCTATTTTACTATTTTTAATTTTTTAACATTAACAAAAAAATCAAGTAAAAAAATTAATTAAGTAGTTATTGAAAATTTGTTAATTATTGAAATCAATAGTTGCTGAAAATTTGTTAATCAATTAAAGCATTAATAAATACAAATTTAATAATTAAAAATTATTGGTAAAAATTCATTGGAAATTTTATTTCAATAAATATAAATTTATTTTTATATTTTCAATAATTTTGATATTATCAGTAATACTTTAGCAATAAGTAGTTATTGATATTTTTAGTAATTTTGGTAAATTTATTCATATTTAATGATAATATCAAATAATAATTAAAAATTTTCAGTAATTTATTTTTTAGTGGAAAATGAATTTCAATAGATATAAATCTATTTTTATTTTTTCAGTAACTTTGATATTTACTATAATATTTTAGCATTAATTAGTGATTTTGGTGATTTAATTACTAAGTAATATTATATATTCAAATAAATAATTGGAAAATTTTAATAATTTTCATAAGTATTGGATACTACATTTATAATTACCATAATTGTTGGAACTATATTTATGGGTTTGAGGGGTGTTATGGGTTTAAGGGCGGGTTCAGAGTGGGGATCATACTCCTCATCTTGATCCGAAGTTTTAAATTAATTCTTATCTCTGCCCCCGATCCCCATTGAGAAAAAATTTAGCCTACATCCTAGATCCCCAATGGAGACAGGTTCCCATCAAGTACCTGAATCCCCAAATTTTTAATTAAAACTTTGTTTCCATAAAGGTATTTATTTAAAATAAAGGAAAATTAAAATGTAAATAATATTTTTAAATAGATTTTGATATATATAATATAAATAATATTATATATTTAATATATATAATCAGGGTCGGGGCGGGGTGTGGACTACACTCCTTGTCCTCGTTCCGGTGCCCACCCTATCCTCGCTAAGGCAATCTCTATCCCCATTACCACCTGGTTGGGGAGGCCGGATACTCAACAAAGATGGGGAAAATTGCTATCCCTACCCTTAGGTTGTATAGCCCCATAGAGTAATAAGTTTTAAGCCCAATAAACCCTTACATCATTTTCCCGTGCATCGCACAAGGGCCTGATAGTAATATACTAATTTTGAATATTATTCTTTTTAATTTGTAGTTAGAGTTAAAAATATAAATATTAATAAATGTATATTTTTTACCCAAAAAACATAAATGTATGTTTTTTACCCAAAAAAAGAATACAAATGTATTTTTTGTTTGAATTGTATGTAGACATTAATATTAATAAAAACTAATTTATTTCATTTATTATCATGAATTAAAAGATGGCTTGTTCGCTAGATATGTATGCACTCTTGGGCCCACTTAAGTTATTGGGTTCAAATCATGCCAGGTCTATTTTCTGAGTCAGTGGCATATCAAACTGTATTAACCAAGAAACTATATAGTATATATCGCAGTATATACCAAAACACAGAGACTGATAGGGTACACCTTCAGGGTGGGTGAGTCACTGAGTCTATGTTTGTTGTCAAACTCAGGGTCTAAAACATATCGGCCCATTGCGTATTTAATCCTTGATCATAAAGTATCCCAGTCACACATTGGTAACATCTCGGATACTTATGTATTGTATATTTTCATGGGGAGAGGTTTCCAATTAATACACGTTGGGATGTTGGGATGTGGTGTGAGGTATGAGGTGCGACCTAATTGGCATGGGGAGAAAATCCCTAATTGAATTGGATCACATATCAGATCATCATTTCAGATAGGGGTCGATCCATACTGAATTCCCACCCCGGTGTTCCATTAATCGTGTACTGACTATAGGTGCACAGGAAAAAGGATACCTGTTTGTTTGACAAGTGAGCTTAATCAACTGAACCGAATTTTTTGATGGTTTGTCTCTGGGCGTTCTTTTTCGAGTTCACATTTTTTCGACTTCACATCTCCTCCCTACAAGGGGCCGCCCCCCAACGTCCAACAGCACATTCCCGCCATGTATCGGGAATATTTTTCGATGATGACATTATCGGTTTTGATAATATCATCAGAAGATGTTTCTAATATATGGTGGGGATGTGTTGTGGGACATTGTGGGGCCGCCCCTAGTGGGGGGGAGATATGAATTTTTTTTTTTATATTTTTGGGATTTTGAGAGGGGAAAATTGGTTAATGGGATTTTAATTTTTATTGACCAAGAAACCCATGTTCTTTTTTCCAATACATGGGGGGAGGCCAAGGAAAATTTATTTTCTTGGGTATCCCATCTGCTAGGTGGGTAAATTAATTTTCCACTTGTGGAAAAAGTTGCCAACACTTGAATGGGACAAAAATGCTCATTTTTAATATTGGATTTTTATGGTTAAAATGGTTATTACCTTATTTACAAAAGGTAATAAAAGAATATGGATAAATGCGATAAGTCTTTCTTGGGAACACTTACTTGGATGAATGCATTTACCCGGATAAATAACTTACCAAAAAGCAAACAAAGCCTCAAGGATGAATTCACATATGCACCCCCACAACGTCCCACAGCACATCCCGCTGTGTATTGGGAACATCTCCCAATGATGAATCATTTCTGGTACCATCATCGGGAGATGTTTCCAATACACGGCGGGATGTGCTGTGGGGCGTTGTGGGGCGCAGATCTGAAGTGCTAAGGATATCACACCCCACTTAATTTACTTATTCACTGAAAACAGCAATTCAGTTTACCTGCCAGTTCAGCACCTTATTTCACCATCCCAAAACAGAACCACCCGCATGAGTCATGACCGGCCGGCCAAGACATAAACAACTTTGTTGAATGCTTACACAGAGTAGATCACAGCGGCAGAGCCAGAATGATGGTGGAGGACGTGACCATGGTCGACAAAGCTGTAATTGTTCCCGAAACACCCACAGAGCATCGACGAGTCTTCCTATCCAACATAGACCTCACACTAGTTTTATACGACGAGGCTGTGTCCTTCTTTGAGCCTCCGGCGACAGAAATCAGCTTCGAGGAAGTTTGTCGCTGTTTCAAAGATGCACTTCGCCGGATGCTAGTTGAGTATGATTTTTTGGCCGGAAGGCTTGAGCCTGCGTTAGAGGATGGCAGCAGGCTAGAGATAAATTGCAATGGTGCTGGTGTTGTATTTGTTGCTGCAACAACCTCTTGCAAACTGTGTCAGCTCGGTGATCTTAGAACTCCCAAGCCAGAATTCAAGCAACTGGTTACATTCTTGCGCCAGGAGGAAGAAAAGGTGTTGGAGTTCACAGAGAAACCGCTCATACTGCTACAGGTATATATATGTCTACAACAAATATCGATCTTAGCCATCTGATTATAATTTATTTTGTTCCCAAATATCAGCCATGGGAAGAAGAAATTTAGTTTGTTCTTCAGTCTTATCAAGCCACCCACAAATAAATGGATCCACTGCATTCTATTTTGTCTGGCTCATACTCTCAATAATCCCCAGAATTAATGAAATTCAAACGCCTACAGATTGAAAATGTTTTTCTAAATTTTCAACTCTTTCTGTTTGTATTGATGATCAAATGCAAAGTTTTCAGGCAAAAGCATTTCTGCTTGAACTATATCAGAGTCCAAAATAACAATTAATGAAAGAATTATTGTGACAGTTGACTCGGTTTCAATGTGGTGGCCTTGCGTTCGCTAATCGGTCCAACCACTGTACTTTAGATGGAGTAGGAGTTCGTGAGTTCCAGATCAACTTTGCTTCCCTGACTCGCGGTGAAGACTTCGTCATCAGGCCAAGTTGCGACCGGACGTTGTTCAAAGCACGGAATCCACCACAAATCAGCCATCCCCACTTGGAGTACTCAAAACCCATCGGCGCAGAGATCTCGTTTACTGTTTGCGGCACAGTTGGTTCCACCCTCAAGAAATCCATACCAGATGATACTCACCTGGTGTATTTGTCGCCGGAGCGAATTGCTAGCTTCAAGAAAGCCGCTCTGAAGGACGGCCAGTTGATGAGTTGCAGCAGTTTCCAAGCTGTGGCTGCCAAGATATGGAAAGCAAGGAGCCTCGCGATGGGGCTGCAAGATGAGCGGATATCCACAGTGTTGTTTCCAGTGGATGTGCGGAGAAGGATTGCGCCTCCTGCACCAAATGGTTTTGTGGGGAATGCACTTGTTCCTGGCTTCGCTCGGGCGAGAGTGGAAGAGCTTAAAAAGGCAGAGGATTCATTCCTTGTAGGGAAGGTTAAAGAAGGGCTGGAGAGATTGGATGATGAGTATATTCGGTCTGGGAATGATTGGTTGGAGGTTCACAGAGGAATTCCTTGCTGTGTGGACAGCTTCTCTGTGGTGTCTTGGTGGAGACTGGGGCTGGAGGGTGAGGAGTTGGAGTTCAAGTGGGGTGCGGTCAAATGCGTTACTCCTATTATGGTTAAGCCAGGATTGGTCATTTTGTTGCCTGACAGCAAAGATGACGGAGGCATCAACATTTGCCTGGAATTGCCCTCTGATCAAATAAAAGAGTTCCATAAGTTGATGATGGAGAACTGATATCTGAAATTAGGCCTTAGTGTGGTGATCGGAGGCATCAACATTTGCCTGGAATTGCCCTCTGATCAAATAAAAGAGTTCCATAAGTTGATGATGGAGAACTGATATCTGAAATTAGGCCTTAGTGTGGTGATCGGAGGCATCAACATTTGCCTGGAATTGCCCTCTGATCAAATAAAAGAGTTCCATAAGTTGATGATGGAGAACTGATATCTGAAACTATGCTTTACTGCTCTCTCTCTCTCTCTTAGCCATGTATCAGCAAATGTTTATGTAATTTGGTATAGTAAAATGAAAAGGAATTTTATTAAAAAAGAAAAGAAAACAAGAAAGAAACCAGCCAGCCAATAAACAAGAAAAAGCTGACCCTAGAGAGAGGACACTATAGTTTACAAAAGCCACCCGGATGCTGAACCGTTTGTCCCTTTGCAGTTTGGATTGCTGGTCAGCAGTTCAAATGTATGGGTCAAATGGGTCAACTTGAATGCATAAAATTTAGGTGGGCTCGGGTTGGAGAGGTCGGGCTTGCTCAGTCTCTATTTGGGTTCAAGCCTTAGGCACAATTCTTAGGGTAGGGACTAGGGCGAGCTTAAACCCAGCCCAACTTGCCTGACTTGTATTATTTCTTTTTCCTCTCAGTTTTTTTAGCTCTATGCTATATCCAATAAATCTTATAGTTATCAAAAACCACAAGCAAAAAGACCAGTCAAGTATATCTAAGTTAAGGATATCAAATAGACCACCACATCAAAAGACTTGGGGGCTGTTTGGCAAGCCTTTCTATGTAGATCTCACCAGTCTAGTAGACAAAAAGATATATTGAGCTTTTGAGGTCTTGTCTTCAAAGAACAAGACTGTTTGGTTAGTGTCATGGTCTACCAGGCTGTTAAAAGCAGTTGGAAAGGTTATTTTCAGTGCAGAAAAACCAAAAGCTTCATTTAAATTTTGCTGATTTCGGCTTTGTGAGTCTTTTGTCGTGCTCATCTTTGGATCTTTTGGTCTATGTGATACCAAATGGGAAAAGACTATGGGTGGCAATTTTTAACCCAACCCGCCCATTTACTTGGCGGGTTGTGTGATCAACCCATCACCTAACCCACCCATTTAAATGGGTTGGGTTGGGTTGGGTTGGGTTGGGGATAACCATTGGGTTAACCACTATGGATACAAGTATTAATTCCTTAGCCTTTTTTTTTAATTTTCTTCATTTGAATTAAACAATTTATAATTAATGCATTAATTTTCTATTAATAATTGGCTAAATTTAGTTTTGACTTGAATCAATACACTTCATCCAACATAAATCCAAATCAATTTGACCCAAGTCTGGACCAGTTTAGCGTGGTCTGACCCGATCCAGCATATACTGATATGAGTCGACTCGAATCCTAAATAGACCCCGAGCGGGATGGATCGGTGCCACTTGCCCTATCCGATTTGGGCCATCCAGCCCAACCAATATTCACACACTGACCCAACTTGGTACAAATTGTTCCAGGTCAACCAGAATCCGAAATGTTTTGGGCGAGATGATTCGGCCTCCGTGTGCTTTGCCCGATCTAGACTGTCCATCCGACCAATATCCACGACCCAACCCAATTTAGCTACATTGACCCGGTTCGGGTCAGCCGGTYTGGTCCTGAACCTGTGCACAAACCTGATATGGTCCGGTCCAAGTCAATCCACCATTGACTGAACCATTCCGGTCCGGTCCGGTCTGGCTAACCGGATTGATCCAGATCTAAACAGTTCAACCACCCTTAAACCTAAGTGGTTTAAGTTGGTCTGACCGGTTTGAACCTAAGTGGTTCAGTAAAATCCAGAATCCAAACATATTCAAATGGCTTCACCGCTTGTGTAAAAATAACATGCATGTAATGCGATTTGAACCTTCACAACTTATGTAAATAATAACTACAATAACCATCAAGGTACAACCAACTTATTTGTTAAGAGAGAGTTTGTTTTTTAAGTCTATAAATATAAGATTAATGAGTTTGGGCGGGTTGAATTGGGTTAAAGTGGGTTTGGGTTAAACCCAACTCATTTAATTTTATATAATTGGGTCATTAATGGGTTGGTTGGTAAGATGGATTGGGTTGAAACTTGATGTAGCACGGTCCGGTCACTCCAACCTGGCGCTCACGTGGCTCCTGAGAGGTACCTGAGATGAGAGGAAAAAGGAAGAACTCCCGAGGGGTTTCCCGACGGGAACGCTCCGATGCTTAAGTTAGTACTGTGTGCAAGAAGCGAAAGGAGAATGAAGGCTAAGAGTGAGGATAGTGCGTTATCACTACGTTCAGGAGGTCGAAGATTTTAGAAGAAGTTTCCCTTCTGTCCTGAGGGCTTTTATAGGGACACTCACATTAGGTCGGGCATAACCGCCATTGGGCTCCTGCCACGGCCATTACTTGCCAGGGCTGCGCAGGTGGCCGTTGTGGTGTACGCTTCGCCCGGGTGAGTGACACGTTTCCAAAGTGGTAGGCATGCCTTTGCCTGTTGAGAGACGTGGATGCAGACTGTCAGAAGGACTGGGACTGCACCGTCAGTAGAGGATATGGCGCAGTCTGACCGGTACGGTTTGTCAGTCGGAAGCTTCTTGTAGGGCGCTAGCGCGGCTCGTTCGCGAGCTATCTCGTAGCGAGCTTGGGATACTCCAGGATTACCTTAGTGGAATTAGTCCTCGGAATGACTTCTGTTAGGGAGCTCGGGCGAGCTAATAACTTTAGCTCACGAGCTACAGTTGCCTCAAGGTATCTCTTCCAAGATAGCACGGGGAACCCGGAGTTCGCCTTGTGGCAGACTCCTCCCCTCGTGAGCTGTAACGTAGCGGACTGCTTCGTGGGCCCGTCACTTGGTCGCTCCGGGTTTCAGTGCTAGGCTATTGCTCATGCTAAGTCGGTGCCTACGTGTCACCGTTTCATAGGTTGAGTCAAATCATCCCTCATCAAAACTCAACACAAATCAAACTCAACCCAACCCGCCCAATTATCTGAAGGGATGGGATATCCATCTCATGGACGCCCAAATCTTGTGGAAAGGATGGGGCGAATTTCAAAAAAATTTCTCCCATCTCTGTAGGGAATCGAATTCCCTACTTCAGAAAACATATTTTCAAGGATCAATCTTGAATCAAGAACCAAATCAGATCTGAACCAAAAGTAGTAGAAGGGAGGATATATCTGATACAGAGAATCAATATCTCCCAATGGAGGTGTTCACGCCCAAGGAAGGATCCAAAATCTGCTCCCACTGAAAAAGG